GAAGACGGTACGCGGACATCAACCACTTCAAAAAATGTTTTTTTCCGGAAAATTGCAAAAAAAATTCGAAAAAAATTCATAACTTTCGCCTTGACGAAATCTAAAACATAAAATAATTTTTTTTAGCTTCCACTTACTCCTACAAAGTGCGAAAAAAACATTAGAAGACGGTACGCGGACATCAACCACTTCAAAAAATGTTTTTTTCCGGAAAATTGCAAAAAAAATTCGAAAAAAATTCATAACTTTCTCCTTGACGAAAAATAAAATATGAATTATTTTTTTTTAGCTTCCCCTTACTCCTATAAAGTACGAAAAAAATATAAGAAGACGGTACGCGGACATCAACCCCTTCAAAAAATGTTTTTTTCCGGAAAATTGCAAAAAAAATTCGAAAAAAATTCATAACTTTCGCCTTGACGAAAAATAAAATATGAATTATTTTTTTTTAGCTTCCCCTTACTCCTAGAAAGTACGAAAAAAACATTAGAAGACGGTACGCGGACATAAGCCCCTTCAAAAAAAGTTTTTTTCCGGAAAATGGCAAAAAAAATTCTAAAAAAATTTATAACTTTCGCCTTGACTAAAACTTAAATCTAGATTAAATATTACTTGTTCTTCTATTTTTATTGTTTTTATTATGAATATTAATAATTTAATTTTTATTTTTATTATTTTTATCAATCATATATTTCCATTCAGTGTTTGATGACGTGGTTTGAATGTGATTGAATTTCATTCTTTTGTTTTTAAATTATAACCTAAGGATTTTCGTAATTTGCGTAAGAATTGTCAAACTGTTTTATATGTTTCATTCATTTGTTTATATGTTAGTACCAACATAAATTTTTTCAAAAATTAACTTGAAGTTGATAACTGGGTGCCAGTTTCAGTTTCATGCAAGACAAAGTTATTGGATCATAAAAGTTGCTATACAGGATTACAAAACGTTATTGATCTAAAACATAATTCCCAAAAAATGCGCATTTCACTTTTTATTTTGATTAAATATTTGTTTTCATACACATAAATTATGTTTAATTGGAAATCAATGAAAATTATTCATCAAAAAAACAAAATTACCATCTTGAAAAAGAAACATCGGGATCCAATGAAGGAACTTTTAATGAGACCCTAAGAAAAGCGCAACCTCTAGAGAAATAAAAGCTTTTGATATTATAAAGTTTGCCTCAACTTAAAATAAATCAGCTTTACTTCAGAAAAAAGTAGAAACTTAAAATTTCTACAATTTTTGCAAAATTTAAAATCAAATTCAATATTTAAAAATAAAATTTTCTTAGGATTCTCATCTTCGGGTCCTTTTTTGTAGAGAATAAATCAATAACATCCTTTTAGCCAAGTTAACGACAAGCTGTCGATGTTCTTTTTTTAAGATTAAGAACCAAAAGATTTATAAACTTTCTTTCCAAACTCTCTGGTTTTTGCGGGTACCAATGATGAAGGTTGAGAAGAATTCATCTGACATGTGTAGGATAGAGTTAAGATCAGAATAGGGCAATTGTGCAACAAAAAGAATTCAAAACGAAAACAAACAAAAAAAAAAGAGAGGAGAAAAACAAGTCTGCCAACATTTTTTCCCTTACTGACTCGCCCATCGTCCTCACCATCAATCCGAAATACCTCTCTTTTCCAGATTATTCTGAATTATTAAAGAAACGCGGGTCTCTACTACTTTTCCAGATTGCCTATGTCTGTTTTATTAAATTTAATTCTCAGCCTTCGCCTCACAATCCATGTCTTCAATTTCGTAAAACCTCTCACTTCGTCCATCAAGAACTTTTTAAAATTTCATAATATTATTTCCTCATTAATTTACATTGTCTTCGAAATTTATTCTAGTATTTTATTTTAAATCTATCAGAAAGAAAAACTATAGATTAGATATTAAAATAGAAGCCTATACTAGTCAAAGATTTTGAAATCATAGCCGAAGACTGATTTTAAAAATTAAAAAAAAAAAAGAAACTGTGAGTTATCTTTTTACATAAATCGAATTGACAACGAGTGTCTCAAGGGAAATTTCCCTGTTAATGTAGAAAAAGGAGAAGATATACATTTGATGTGACGTTCAAGTGTGAAAAAGAAGGAACTTTTAATTTTCCCGCGAACACAAGACTTATCGCCTACTGTCAGGACACTTCCTGTCCAAGACGAAAACATGGGTTTTACCCTTGTTTGGAGATCTTTATCACGACTGATTTGTATTTATTGCGGTCACGAAAATTCTTGAACAAAACAAAAAGAGATTCGCGAAGAATTTACGATACGCAGGAGTTTTATAAATAAATCTTGATTTAGACCTCGTACAAATTCAATTAATGAATGTAAGAAGAGTGTTGATTTTTTTTTTAGTGTCCTTTTTTTGACACTTTTATTTAAATTAATTTGAGAATTTCGAATTTTGAACGATTCGGTCTTTTGGTAATCCGAACTTTTAGAAATTCAATCTTTTGAGATTAGAAAAGTTAGACTCAAAAATATTATAATTAATAGAGTCAAATGGTTGTTGAAAATGTTCTATATAAAAAAATTAGACACGCACATGGGGATGAACGTTAAATTCTTGCAGATGTTACATGGTGTAATGGCGTTATACGCCTCCCTCTACAATGTAACAAGAATATTGAACATGCCTAGAATTCTTGATGCATTCTCATGAAATATGAACTACAGAGACTCATTTCCCAACCGGTGCCAAACGTTTGGTAACTATTCGCATATTAGGGAGGGATGAATCAGTAGGGGAAACGTCATACTCGACGAAATACTTCATTTATATCCTGTCACCAAATATCATTGGGGAAAGTATTATTCTACAATAATTTAGTTTAATTAGTTCTATTTCTAAGAAATAAATATATATTGGTTCAATTAAAAATTCATTTATGATACGAGAATGTAAAAAATAAATTCAAATCAAAAGTGATTTTAAATTCCATTAATGTCAGTAGGTTGAAAAGTACATACAATGAGTTTTATCTCAACCGGACGGGTTGGGATAATTAAAAATTCTTTAATGGAGTTCATAAACTTCCAATAGTTATATGAATGCTTTTTGTTACTGTTGTTCAGACGCAATCCAGGAATACGAATGCCAGTATAGTGAATTAGAGCGAAGTCACTTGTGTCAAGGCACTTTGGACATGTCCCAAATGATAACGATGGTCTGGTGCAGTTGAGCCAGGAAATAAATGTATATATGTGCGACACATTTTCAAGCAAATAAAACAGCAATTTTGTTTCGAGTAACAGCAAGAGGCAAATGAGAAACTAAAGCAACAATCAGAAGGAACTTTATTTGGAAAAGTTTTCAAGACTATATATATTTTAGAGAGATAAAGAAATAACTTTTGCCTAACACGGATTTATCCGTATCAAAAAGTTTTTCTTATAAAAAAGAAGTTAAGAGGAATTATTTTTTGCCTTGCCTTAAAAGATGTGTGAATGAGATATTCTTCATTTTTATGGTTATTCAGTCATGCGGATGGGCGCAGATTTTTTTTTTCTGCGAACCTTAGCCATAACGACCTGCGGTGGATCAAGTATGCCATTAAATGGTCCGAACGAGATAAATTGCGTAGCTGAGATTGCAACTATGAATTTCCACAAGGGTGATCATAACTTGATAGTGACACAAATTTTGATTATATCATCATCATCATCACAATTAATTAATTTTGTCGAAAAAGAAGAAGGAATCGAAAAATAGAATTTCAATTTACGAATTCCTTTTTTTTGTAACCGAACGATCGGTCAAGGTAGCTTACATACGATGATCGAAACGTTGGTATAATAAAATTTCTCTTTCTTTTCTAAGGGAAAGAGGACAATCGATCGTGTGTATGAAACCTTCTGTTAAAAAAATGTAATCACAATAGTTGACGAATAGACTTTTTCTAAATAAGCTTATAAATCCATATAGAATTCTCTCACCTGTCATCCTCTATATTAGATTTCACTTTTGCCTTATAAATTGATTAATTTCTTTCGGTTATACATTTTATTAATTAATTTCTTCTTATACGAAATGTGTTCTTTGGATGAAATTGAATCTTAGAATTAGATCCTAGAGGTTTATGTAAAGAATAAATGGGAGATGCTTGTACAGGAGAAGGAGACGAATTCCTCACTCAATGTTGATTTGAACTTAGAGAAATTGCAAGAAGAGCCCGGAAGCGTCAGCTTCTAACTTTGAGCCCTTAAGCCAAGGTGGAGTCGACATTAAGTGTAGCTTAACGCTGTTAGACGCTGTCTGGGAGAGGTTTATAACGCAACATTAAATTGCCGAGTTTCTTGGATCTTGATGAGTAACACCAAATGACCTCAAGATTTAGTTTAGTTTTTTTTTATAATACGTCTGGTTCAAGACTGTATTTAGCCAATTTTTAATTACAAAACACTATGTTTAGATACTGCTTCTATCTTTTAGAAAAAAAAATATATAAAAAAATTGAATCCTTTGACAATATACAACGTGAATAAAGTAATCGTTTTACAAAAACTTGTCAAGAATTCCATAAAACTATTTCTATTTTTATTTTATAGATAGTATAAAATACTGCCAGTTAAAATCTTCAAAGATATTTCCGTTGTATGAAATTACTTACGGGAAGTTATAAAATCATACATAAAGTGAAATTTAACATCGAGCGAAGACATGGGTATATGAAATAGCTCCTCGAAAATTCTAAATCCCCCGAAGCGAAATAGGAAAACTGTTATATAAATTTTATACTTTGTATTAGGCATTAGGTTTCAAAGAATTTTTTGATTAAAATCAAGTTGCATTGAATTTGCAAAGTTTTTGAATTCTTGCTTCAATAGAATTTAATTTTAATCGAATCATTTCTGCTGCAATTAAGAATTGTGATTTTGGTAATTATGCAGACTTTTGCTATGTTTAATTTTGTTTTAAATGCCTTTCATTTAGCTAGAAAATGAAAATTTTGATGAGGAGAATAATTAAATATTAAACATACCAAATGCAGATGGCGGTTCCAAGTCACGAACAGAAAGACTGGACGACGCTTGCGATGCACTAGATTCATTGCTTTGTGTACATCGCAATCTTCTCCTAAGTTTAGGCATATCGAATGGCAAATCTCTTAAATCAACACTAGTTGCACTCCCTGAAGTTGTGGCATCCTGCTGCATAAGTAATCTCCTACGACGGAGCTTTGGCATGTCAAATGGCAAATCCGATAATTCAGCTTCGTTATCTACCAAATTGATGTTATCCAATTGAGGTTTTGGTACGTGAAAGCCAAAAGGCTTACACTTAATACCTGTTCGTGACTCTATCGAAATTCCACTATCCGATCCTTGTATTTCTGCATCACCCGACGATGATGATTGAAGCGCTAAATTAATAAGATTTTTATTTTGTGGCGTTCTTCGTTTTTTGAATGATGTATCGGTTGGTGTTGTCGCGTTTGTATTTGTAACAATTTCAGTTATTATTTCTTCGGGCGATGCTTTTTGGGAATTATTGTTTTTATTGTTGTCCGATGTTTCGGAGGCTGGTTCTTGTGATGATTTATCTGAGATGGGAGAGAGGATGTGTAATTTATTTGCATGATGTGTAAGAAAGCCGGAAAGATTTGGTTGTTGATGATGGTGATGATGATGGTGGAAGCAATTTGTAGTGCCACTGTCAGAACTGTGGGAACTGAGACTTGTGCTGTGACGACTTTCAGAACTGCTTGTTGATCTGTTCCCTTCGCTAGTACTGCTACGTAGTGATTCCATACTTCCGCCACTGCTGCTGGTTGCCATGCTTTCAGTACTCGAATAACCGGGTCTTCGTCTATTGTTACGTAATTTAAATTCGAGTAAACCTTGTTCGCTTCTTGGTTTGGGTGCATCAGTTTCCGATTCGTGGGGCCTTCCTTTAAATTCCATTATGGGTTTACTCTCGCGGATTAAACTTCGTGGACGTTGTCTTTCTTCCCTAGGCCTGCCTTTAAATTCTAATATCAGATCTTTGCCGAAACGACGCGATTCAGTTGATTCGGAAACAAAACTCTTTGGCCGTCCTTTAATTTCGAGAATACTGCCTTCGCTGCTTTGGGGTGAGTCCTTTGCTCTTAGCGATTTTATCGGCAATTTCATGTCTTTTAATCTCGGATGGTCGGGCTGAGAAGGCAAATTGGGTGCACTACGTATGTTTAGTAAGAGATTATCTCTGTTCCCATGGAATTTAGCAGGCAAAGGCGCCGTGGACGGCGGTGATGGTGTGTAGCCACGAGTCGGTAATCTCGGGGATCCAGTCTTCTCGTCACTTGAATTTATTTGGAGGGATTCAATGTCCTGGGACAAATTTGAGATATTGTCTGATTGCTGATGATTCAGACGACTCGGAATTGGCTTTGGGCGGAGGATCACTACTTTTCGACGATGGTCCTTATTTGCTTGAGAACCGGAATGAGGAACTTGTACACACTGCGGCTGTTTGGACGATTCTGTTAGTGAACTTGCTCTAGATAGCGGCACTGTATTACTTGTTCGCATTTGCGAATGTAGAACAGGATGATTTGTCACCCGATCAAGATCATCGAGATCATCATCCGATCTGCTGATTTTGCAGTCGAATGCAGTCTCATAGAGTTGACGTTGTCTTGCCATTTCTTCCTCACCCTCCTCACCCTCCTCTTCTTCTTCTTCCTCGTCCTCGTCTTCACCTTCCTGATCGTTATCGTCCTCAATGAGAATTGGTTGTGGATCAATTTTTCTTGCTCGACGAAATTTTCGGCTTTTTTGCCGCTGTATTTGCGGCTTTGGCGTTTCTAGCTCATCCTCTTCGGGCGAAGCAATGCAAGTGCATACATTAGTTGATAGATCATGATTCAAAAGTCTATTGGGTGGCATAAGGGACTGATCCCATTCGGTGACGACGCTATTGGCTTCGTTTCTCGATGGTAGAACATGCTCGCTTGTAGATGTTGGACTGATTAAATCCTGAGTTTGTTGAGGAATCAAGGGGGTGCTATCCCCAGCTACTGAGTTTCTCTTGTGAATTCCTGGAACCGTTGAATGCTCCTCGGGTACATCGAGGCTCACACTCTTTCGATATCTATTTGGCTGAGTACGTGAAAATTGTTCCGGAACTTTGAAAAGATCTCCGTAGTAATAGGGCGAGGGATGACGAATTGGTTGTGTTGATTCTGTTGGTGATTGATCCGGAAGATGAACCAAGGCAACACAATCAACAACACTACTGTTATTTGTTGGGTATTTGTCTTTTTCTTGATTTGTTAGTTTGTTTAATGTCGTGGAATTTTTAAGATTTTTTCGCCTTCTGTTGCTTGACAATCCTAATTCCTCATCTTCGCAAGACGAACCCGAAGCTGATGGGTCTGAAAAAAATGAAAAAGATAACGGTTAAAGTTACACTCGAAAAATAATTATATCTAATATTATTTTGATTTTTAAAATTTGGAATTTTTTTATTCAACAAAGGAATCTCTTCAAAAATCTGAGGTGACAGCACATCGGAAACGGTAAAATAACAGGATCAAAATGTAGTAAAATTTCCATAATAGTCTTCAAGACCGTTTCCCTCTGCTTGAATAGCAAGAGCATTTGGGTAGAAAGACTATAAACTAGAGTCTTAAAAATCGCTTTATAAAATCCCCTAATATTGATCAATCCTTGGGTCAGTTTTCATATAATTTTCAATATAATTCAATAAACGGAATTCTTTTGATAAAAAATATTATATGAATAATGATTATATTTCAATTTGAAAAAAGTTTAATAGAATCATATAATTTGTACATTTAGAAAGATAAAAATAGGAAAAAAAAAATTCAATGCAAGTGAACAAAGAGAAGATTGAAGATAATGGGTACATTTAGCCTGCTAAAGGCTTTTAGATTCTGACTCCTCCTTTATGAGGGTGGGTAACCTCCATAAACTATACGATCGTGGATTTGACAGGAAACCCATTGTAGATAGCGAGTAAAGAAAGTTTCCGGTAAAATGATTTGAGATGAACCAAAAAAAAAAGAGAATTTTCTAATTTACATCAAATAATTGACAGTTAATTACTAAAAAGTATTTTAGGTAGAAGAGCTCATCGGGAGATGTGAAGGGATAAATTAAATTTTTGAAAATTTGAGGGATATTGATTACGGAGACGATAATCAGATTTCCGAGGTATCTGGAATGATAGCGATTGGTAGAGTGCAGCTGAGGGCTATGTTGCAATGCGAGGGTAGAACGTTGCCCCCTAATGAATCTATTAGGGACGGTGAGCGACATCCCTGGAACTGGCAATCACTATATATGATCCACCACTGCTCGTTTCGTCATGTTTACATCAACTACTGTCTACTTGATTCAGACACGCAAATTTCCACCAAAAGATATTTGCAATTCGAAGGCATACGCTTGACTTGTCTCCATTGAGATAACAAATCGCATATATATATAGAATAACTTCTCTCGATACACAAAACGATCGTTCAAGCGCAATAGCAGATTGCCAAGAAAATCGCATTTCAAATAAATTTTTAATATCTACATAAGCAAAACATTATAGATTTCGAATTTATTGTTAAAAAAATTTCCGCAAATTGTCTGATATTTTTTTTTTTTTTTGACAAAATATATCTGGATTTCGTTTTCTTTTGATTGTGCAAAAGGGAGACGAAACTAGAAAAGCTTCAGGCATTTCGATTCTCTTTTTTATTAGATATTGTCCTTCTAATATAACCGAGGGTTGACTAAAAGATGTGAATTGTATCCAAGTATAGAAAAGAATTTCCGGTTATCCCTAAAACCACCATCGTTCATTTTTTTCCTTTTTTTTTTTGTAAATGTCTACTGGGAAAAAAAGGATGAAAGCCAATCTTGATTCATAACATAAAATCTTCCAAAGAGTTCAATCATGATTTTTTTTTTAAATTAACGAAAATTAGAGATCTTTTTTGTGAAAAGGACAAAGTTGAAAAAACTTTATTTCAAGCGTAATAATAGCCCTAAGAGAAGAAAGAAGGCGTCTTCTTCTGAAGGAAACTGAAAAAGAAGTACACGCATGAAGGGTGACCAGGTACAACGAATAACGAAAGTTGATTGAAACAGCGACTGATTACAAAACAGGGTGAATCTTTGAGAATCGCGTCTCTCTGATCTTCTTTGATTGCGAGTCGCGACGGAAAAGAAAATGTGCATGGCAGGATTTCAAGTTGGTTGATGCCAAGTGCTAAATTAAAAAGACGCAAGAGGGCGACGCCTTTGAAAGCTTTAAGTGGCAATTACTAGCTCTGTTCTCAAATTACTTACTCCAGTAATTTTATTCCAAAGTTCGTCTTTTCTGTCTTTTTTCTTCTCTATTTTTTTGCAACCTGGCTTATTCCACTTGGATGCAGTGTTGCAACGATTACCTTACACAATTCACTTCAACACTTTGATGTTTATTTCATTATTACTGCGACAAAACGAAATATTCATAATTTTATAATTCATTAAAAGTATTTAAAATTTTGCCATCTAATTTACGCCTTTTGTGAAGAAAATCAGAAATATAAAATAGCATTGATTTTAAGTAAATTTCATTAGTATAAAATTTCTATTATTCCCGAAAACTATCTCCGTGAAATTCTTCATGCAAGGAGTAGAGGAACTTCTAACACTCCTAATAAGATTTTAAGTAGGATAAGCTGAAAGTAAATGAGGAAACTTGAGAGGCGAGACACGTTCTAATCGAAAATTAGATCCCGTTTTATATATAGTTAAGCTCCTCAACTTCCCTACACGCATCACATGTAAAAATTTGTCTCATGAAATTGAAATACTATTAAAAATTTCAAAAGAAATTTTTGTTGATATTATCAAGTATGTAAAAATTGACCTAGGTGTAGATAAAAAAAATTTCATTTTATTCGGTAAAATTTACTCAATTCTGTTGGAAGATATAAGATAAAAATCGTATTTCTCACAAGTGGAAGATACAAAATTCTAATTATAAATATTCTTTATCGTCATTTAGTGCCTTAATTGACCTATACGTAAAATTAAACATTTTTATAATATCGAGCCAAGAATGTGATTGATTTTTGGTGGCAAATGAAATCAATATTAGTTTGATGTATATCAATGTGTGAGAGGGTTGCCATTGCCAGGGGCACATAGACCACGGCCAGATTATTCGCTTCCCTATCGGTAGGCATTACTCGATTGAAATCTACATCAATGACCACACAGGGCACGATCGCCTGCGGTGAAAGGGTTCCAATTTAGGCGATCAAGGATGTACCTACATAAGCTAGGCTCAAATTCCTCAAGTCCCTGTATAGTAAATTATATAACTTTCCTATGTCCACTAAACCTCTGCCAAGAACAAAGACATTTATCCCTTCGACAGTATTGATTTTCTTTTTATTTCGAATTATAACATTATAGCTAAAAATAAAAAACAAAGGATATATAAAAAATTTCAAAATTAAAATCAATTGTCAAAAATGTAATTAAATTCTCATTAAGAATAATTATTATCGAAATATACAATTGACACATTAAGTAAATAAATTGTAGTGAAATTTTTATAACATCGTATAAACTTGGCCTTTATATCGACTATGCGTGACAACAGTCATTGAACTCGATTTCGTTTTCATTTTACTAACAATGTTTATTCGTGAGAGCTATACGAAAAAGTTTCTATACACGCTTCTCTAATTTTATCGTGTCACATTTCAGGAATATAAATGAGTATCGATCATATCCTAGTATGTATTACTGCGTAGAAATAACAAAAACGACATGTAATATATCAATTTTTTTTTTTAAAAGGACATAAAATAATAATTCTTTTTTTTTAGAGCAAAAAATATCAAAAGGACCCAAGGGGTGGTATTTGAAAAAAAAAATAATTAAAAAAGAAGATAACGTGGCGAATAATATTCAAAAGCAAACGATTTCACGGTATGAGAAACAAGATGACGATTAATTCGTTCATCCACTGGTGCGCATCAACACTAGGGGCAATATGGTCAGAAAGACTATTGTCATTCCCATTATCAACGGTCGACAGATCTTTATACACATGAAATAGATAATTAAAATTTTCCCTAAAATTTGATAAAAAAAAAAAAATATTTACCTTCGGGGCATATATGAGAAATGCGACGCGGGGAAAATTAATCACGCGAAGGAGAAATTTTCTTCGCTATAAGGGAAAACTGAATCAGACTTGTGGAAATTTCTCATTTATGATCGGGGTGACGACGCGAGAAACTGCGAGATTAAGAGATCCTAAGAAAATCCATTCCATATATAGAGAAACGTGTCGTTGACAGTTGGTAAATGATCTAGTTTACTGGAGAAGTGCAGAAGCAACCGAAACATGATGAGATGAAGAGACAACGAAAGGGAAATGAGAATACTAGGTGTGGAGAGAAAAGGGTAGAAGGGTCTATTAACTATTCATCTTCTTAAGGCAATTCAAACGAACTTTCCAAGCGCTTACCCCTTATCTACATCATATCGCAAATTCTAAAACTGTCGCCGGCCAAATCATTCTGTCATAAACTCTCAACAATGATGTACTTCTAGAACAAGGGATTGTTTTTGTAAATTTTGAGTATTTCTTTAGTTTCCTGATACTCTAAGATATATAATTTTAACAGCTATTTGCTCCGCAGTAAAGAAAATTATTTTTTGTCTATAGGTAATTTCACAGGAAATAGTAAAATAGAAATGCCCTGTTTGAAATGGTCCAATTGATCGCAGGCTTTGAAAATGATTTCCTCCCAGTGGTTCGGAACCAGTTGAGCTACCCCTATTTCAATTATCGGCAGTATAGGCAACTTGTTTCTCATTCCACGTCCCCGAGCATTTAGCGCTTTATCGTTTGTCGATTCCAGGTTGCGTTCAATGTCCATCTGTCCATCATCAGTGGGAGAAAGTTTAGGATCTGGAAACTTGACATCAAACGTTGCTTACAAAATTTCCTCAAGCTCAGATCCCTTCTTGTTGACATACGCTTGTAGAAACATGTGATGAATTATTCATTCGAAAAATATTTTGTGACTCCTACCCGCGTAGTTTGCAACAAAATTGCTTTCTCTTTTCTTATTCAGATCTGAACTAAAGAAATAGTGTATTTTGTCTTATTCCAAACATGTTTGAACTTTTCAAAGTACTTTTTAGTATTCAAACAAATGGATAGTTTGAAAAGTTCTGAAGTAATCGAAAAAGAATGGAAACAATTTGATGGTGAAAAATAAATTTAATGTTGGCTATGGACACACTTTGGTATGGGAATTTAATTAAATATCTGCGACGAATGGAAAGGGGATTTGTTAGGTGTCACTGCCAAGTAACGTCAGAAGCACACCATAGGCTCGAAAAGTTGGAACAAACGAAGCGTATATGCAACCACGGGAACCCCTAAGAGCCAGCGGAAGTGGATGGAGAGAAAATGTCTAGACGTATCATTGTCACTTTCCCTATTACTGTTCGAACCACTATAATTCTCCTTTTTTTCTTTTTAATTCTCATATTTCAATCTAAACTTAAAATCCGCCAAAAGTCTCTTTTTTTCTTCTTTTGTTAATTCTAATTTTTTTAAATTCATTGTTAGCTTAATCAATATTTAATTATTAAAATAGATTACAATTTTCGTGTCCTAAATGCAATAATATCATTGTAGATTAAGGTAATATGCTGATAATGTAGAAATTTGACGTTTATTTAGACCCTTATCGAAAGGCTTAACCGCACGCATGCAAACATCTCGAGTTTCTCCCGCGAATTAAAAGCCCATGAATATCAGTAAGGATGCAAATTCTAAAGGTGTTTACTTGGGATCGAAGTTACCAGTTCCATTTGCATACAAACAGAGATTAGGCGTATCCTATTTAGATTTCACATAATATTTACGAACGAAAAAAAAACTTGGGTCAATCGACAAATTTCGTGACGAAAAAACATTTTCGCTGTTAGATTTTTTTTTTCAACGATAAGTTAAATCGATGTTGCTTTTCTTATATTAGCATTTTATTGAATTCTTTGAGAAATAACTGGAAACGAGGTATATTAAAATTGTGTTATTATTTTAGAAAATAGAAGTAAAAAGAAAATTAGTTATTTTAACAAAAAGGAAACAATGAGGATTTAAAGTTCAGTTGGAATCACTGTGCAGATCACGTGTGCATTATGGTCTGTCGGTAATTAGGAGAATCAATAAAAGCAGAATTGTAGAGCAATCTAATAGAAGTGTCGTTTTCTTCACTCAATTCTTAAACACAAGTATCTTAAAGGTAATTTCATTCCATTTTTTGGATTGTTACAGATTTATGTAATTCAAGTACTAAATTTTAACTGATTGTAAAAATTCTCTTAAAAGAAATGGTAAATAAAAACAAAGTATACTCTCACCTGTGTAGGGTCGACAATAGTTACGATTCACTTTACTGTAAATCGTTGGTAGAGGTGATTCGGCGCCTGGATCGATGTAAGTTTTGGTTTTACTGTCTCTAGGATCACTGTATTGTTCAACAACCTCAACTTCTGTCTGCAAATAAACATAATAAAAAAAAGGATTAGTAATTGTAAAATTAATTGAAATAATTTGAAAATTTATTAGTCTTATTGAAAATGTTAAAGAAAGAATTTGTTTGTATTATATATTAGCTGGAGGAATTAGATCTCGCTTTCATGAGTATATTCCAAGTCTCATTCCTATGGGAATGCCATTCGAGGGTGGTTATTGCCAGAGCTTTATTCTCTTACGCATTCAGAGTCATTTCAAGGATGGGCAATTTCCCTTCTAATCTTAGCTACTTGTCCTAATGGTGCGACAGAGGACAACTGATAAATTTGCGTACATCTTTCTTTTGAGGATGTCTTAAAATGTCTCTAAATGAAACAAATTAATGAGTGGATAAAACAAAATTAAGAAATTCCTCTAGAATACAAGAAGAAAATTGATTAAATTCAGAATTTAATTCAATAGAATATTTCAAATAATAATGTGATGTTATTGTTTCAATGAAAGTATTGAGGCTAAAAAGTAAAAATCGAAGACGAAGGTAAGGATGAAAGACAAGTAGCTTTAAATTGAAAGAAATTGGAATTCTCCTGCCAAAGTTGTAAGTTTTGCCTTTGGGGTTTGCCTTCAGGGCGACATTGGCATCTCCCCTCTTTCTACGTATAGCTCATAAATCCGAGATGTTTATACGGAAATTACCAGAACGGTTCCTGTTATCAAGCTTACTAATTCGAGTGTCCCTAATTCGATCACAGAACCACAAATGGGGAAATCTGAATTTCAGACACTAACATTCAATAATGATCAGTGACTGCAATAATACTATTATTATTATTATTATTTACAATCAGCCTATAACAATTATAGAAAGCGAAAATATGTTTCGTTTTTTTTTTGTTCTAAATTCAAACCAACAGTAAAATAAGTCTCATAAACGGCGATGATAATTTAAGTTATTGTTCCCCTTTTTTGACTGTAAAACGAGGGTAACTTCAGAGTAATCCCATTGATTTATCGAGAAATTCAAGCCGCTTAACTAGCTACTAAATTATAATTTGGCTACAATTATTAACCAACAGTCAATGTCTTGATTGTATTTATCGACATTATTGAATTCCATTCATTTGCCAAGCAAACATTTCATGATTATACTCAAGTAATGATTATTGGTTATAGTTTATAATAATTAATTTGTTGCAGCTTAAATGTCATCAATTAAGTAAATTCTTTACTTTGATGATGATCATGAATTGCAAATTACATCAACAATGTAAATTTATTTAATACATTCATAAAGGTATTTAACATCGATATAAAATATCAAATCACATTAATTCTATATGAATGAAAAAGTTTAATCCAAAAATCAAATGAAAAATATAAGTTATTTGTAACTCAGAAAGGAAGGAAGGATTTTAACATTCATCCAATCTATTATTCTCAACAATAAACGGACAAAAAAAACAGTTTAAAGTTATTTCCCCACTATTCTCAAGTTCGCGCATTTAAACTCTTTGTTGAGATGAAAAATGTGATCTACGTCTTGCGTCTCCTTACGCATAAAATAAAGCGCCAAAGTATTAAGTAGGACTTAGGAAAAAGGAAAGAGACTCATAACGATTCACCCTCTTGAGTCAAGTGCTCGGATATATATATATATATAGAGGGAGATGGAAACTTTTGTCCTTTGTTTCCAGGTGTCACCTCTACTTCCCTTTTATAAGCTTCTTCTCTCGCGATTGTCAACCGCTGTTTTGTTTCTTATATAGCGCAAAGAGCATCCCTTCGAGGATACTGCTGAAAAAAAAATATAATCTGCTTTTGTATTTCTTTTTTGCCGGCAAAATTCACTCTCATCCCATCCTCCCCTTTTATTTGATTTTCGATTGAAAATTATTAAATTGTTATTGTACTTTTAATGAAAATAATAAATTTTTTTTTTTTACTATTTCTCTACATATTGAAATAAAATTAATGTGGAATTTTAGTAGAAACATTTAGCGCAATGCTGGAGGCAATTCCACCATCAGAACTGAGTGCTGGAGCAATTATAAGTAACGCCGGAAGTCACTAGCTTCACCCTGCATGTGCCTTCAACTCACGATTCTCGCTTCACAATATATATACCCCAGGGATATTTTGTCACCCCTGTAATTATATTTCTCCCCTCATCTGATTCTCAACGTATAACTGAAAAATATCAATGCCTTTGCACCCAAAACGAAGACTTCTTTTTTTGCAATTTTACCGGAAACGATGTTCAACGAATGGCTCGGTGAAATGAAAGATGAATATATAGTTTAGTTGTTGAAAATATATATTATTTTCGTGAGTTTCTCTCTCTCTTTTTAAAGCTACTGCTATTCAATCCTCTTTTTGAAATACTCACTTGCGGATAAGAGGGTCAGTCACGTGGGGTGGCTAATGGAAAAGTCGTAAAAGTAGAAAGAACACTTCTGAAGTTAAGCAGATTGCTGTGGGTGCGAAAAAAAGTGGGGAAAGGAATATATAAAGAAATTGAAATTAATGCACAATAAATAATACACAAAAAATTATTTTTGTACATACAGAAAAAATCCTTAACTTGAAATAGTAAAAGTTTCAGAAAATTTATAGGTTGTAATCTTACTTTGTCTATTGTAGGACTTGGTAAGGCCCATTGAACTGTCGATGTAGCTGCTGCAGCACTAACTGGACGACGTTTATTGACAAAATCCACTGGTAGACTGTAATCGTCGCACAAAGAAATCTGTAACCAAAAAAATAACACAATGATTATCCAAACAAAAAAATTAATAATATCAATAAGTTTTTTCTTGCAATATATAAAATATAGAACAAAATTTATCAAAAGGATAATCAATCAAAAAAAAATGAAAGTAAATATTGAACTGTGAATCAGAGAAATCTTGTCATCGACAAATCGAAGGGTAGTTCCCCCTCAAAGACTGGACGAAGCTCATCAACGATATTTACTGTCCGCTGTTGTAGAATCGATCTATATACACGATAGGTATATTCATTTACTGATGTAGGTAAAACGACACGGATATACATAAACATAAATCCAGAGAATCACGAATCCCTAAGGGCGGCTTATAACGAAAGGGTGGAGGTAACATTTTATTTCGTCCCGAGAACCTCTATGCAAATGGTCCACGTTTATTACCAGCAAAGAATGGCGTATGAATGCGTCAAGTGGGAAATGAAACAAAAATATATATATTAGATATAAAGAAAGAACGAAAAATGGATGAGTGAATTGGAAAAAGCGGAAATGGCCTCGGCATTTTGATTTATGTGAATGTATCTCGAAAAACATCCTGAAAATCTCGGAATAATGTCAGTTTGTTCGTATATATATATGAATCGAGTGAATGATTACTTTCCAGGCCATCATAAAAGACATTTAGAATTGATAAGTGTTTATATGGAATTTTTATCATAAAAATATAATTCTTGGAAAGCAGTTTCATTTTAAAAATAGTTTTATTTTTTTTCCCCTCCTTTGAAATGCGCCAAGAGTGATAGAACCAATGTTGGACTGATTGGGCTTCTCTAGGAAATACGTTACTCACATCTCTCTGAGTTGAAGCTTCGGAGCAGAAGGAAGCCAAATACAATCTAGGCCGCAGTCATAGAATCCTACACACAACCTCCAAACACCCCTGAGCTCTGGGTCACGTTTCACCACAACCCTTCGTATATATATATATATGTAACTTCTAATTTAGAAGTAAAGAAAAACAAATGAAATAAAATTAAAACTATTATTTAATTTTAGGAAACGCTAATTAACATTCAGATTGTAATTTTTCATATTCCTCGTATAGGAAATCCTCTATTCTGACAAAGAAAATAGCATCATGGCGTTTGTTTCTCTGGATTCCATGTGACGGAGATTAAACGGAATATTTAGCAAATATTTCGCATAAATCAAAGCCATGCAATATGTTCGGAGTTTGGAGTGAGACTATGTAAATTCATGGTAATAGCGCTGGCCACCCTACGGTGGGGGAGTTTCGAGTGTCGAGGGGAGTAAAAGTGGAAATCCAATGGGAAAGAGAAGGACAAAAATATAGGCATTCAAAATGGAGGAAAAAGAGAAGATGGAAGGGATAAGAGGAGCTAAACGTGAAAGAGAGAGAGAGAGAGAGAGAGAGAGAGAGAGAGAGAGAGAGAGAGAGAGAGAGAGAGAGAGAGAGAGAGGGTAAAAGCGCGTATTTCATGAACCCCCTAAAAGCAACGCTCTAGAGCATTGGTGCAACCACCACAAACCCATTCATTCTCTTTATGGGATCCAAGTATTTGGCGGTTTGAATAAATCGGAAATTTGCCCCATGGGCCTTTTAGAACACCTTTTTTTTTAACCATTTACCTTTAGCTTTTCAAAGCAACTATTTCTTTATTTACTTTCCACACTTTCGGTAAAATAAAATCAAATCCACTTTCCAAACAGGAAGGAATATCAGATAAATTTAATTTTGAATTTTTAGATTCTTCTTAAAAATGTAGAACCATTCCCTATGATTAAAATTTCAGATATAGAAATGGAAATAAAAAATAATTCATAAAATTATAATGGAGGTAAATTGACTCGAAGTAACTGAAACGAATTCAAAGGAAGAGGAAACTGGCGAAATTAATGATCCTAATGATCAATAAGTAATGAATGAAACTCCCTCGAATTATATTGATGGAACGTTTTCTTTCCCTTCGGTCCATTTGAAAAGCAACGAGCAAGGACGGACCTATCTTTTTGTCCTGAAAACATCAGAGGAGAATAAAAGGGTTTGCCATAGAAAAGCATTGCATGAAGGGAGAATTTATAATACTTCTTCCATTTGACATGACAAAAGTGCACCAACAATCTTTTTGGATTGAAAAATCATGACTTAAGAGGAATCAAAACAGAAAGACAGAAATTCTTTTGGAATCAAAATGTACCAAAAGAAGGAAGAACCAAAAGAAGAAGAAGAAGAAGAAGGATTTTAGGACAAGAAAAGGCTGTTTAAAAGAGAAGAAAATAGCTAGCGTCACTTATTCACCATAAGGACGTTTAAATCATTTTATGATAATCTCATAATGCCGGGGGCAATAGAGCAGGATCGGAAGGGTTGATAAGAAATATAGGTATATATATAGAGATCGTGTAGACACTGCAAGAGATCGTATATAGTCACAGAAACAGCGTGATTGTTCCGCCAGTTCCTCTATATTGGGATAAACGTCGTCCCCTTCTTATCGCCCTCTCAGTTCTTCGAGCATACCCAAACCCCTGTGCCTAAGGGGCTGCTAATTGATTTTAGAAGTTCCTGCGTCTCGTGTTTCCCTTCCCTGTTCTTCTTCTTCTTCTACTACTACTACTACTACTACTACTACTACTACTACTGTTTCAGAGTGAAAAGGTACTCTCATCACAGTGTAACAATCTTCCGTAGTAAATCTCTGAGAACCATCATCTTCAAGACAACCCTTGTTGCCTCCTAAACACTCTCTCAAAATCGAAGATTTGTTTCTCAACAAGACATGCTTCCGATATTATTTGACAAGCTTCGTGACTTTTGCAAGTTTCCAATCTGACATATGAAATCACTTTCAAAATCTAAAAATTGACTTTGATCAATAATATCCTCAGCTTGAGAAAGAAAATTTTTGAAAGAAACTAGAAAAAGAGATTGTATCCTAACTAGACGCAGACCCTGAGGCTATTCGTTGGCGACAACACTGGAGTCTGTAATCAGACACTGCAACAATGCCAAAGGGTAGACTCTTTTTTCACCACTATCTTTTCTTTCTCTCTGACTCATCAATCTATAATTGCATTATTATTCCCACCTTATTTTCTAAATAGAATATTTATTTGCTGTAATTTTCTATATTTTCAAAAAAAAATGAGAAATTTTAAATAAACACCGATTAAGTATCTCATTAAAAAAAACTCTTTATTTGCCAATGAGGTGAGCTGTAAATATCACCAAAGTTGCACACCCTCTTATTATTTCCCCATTAAACAAGTTTTCCATCTTGGGGTTGAGTCGAAAAAGTCGTCTTTAAAAGAAGGGCCATAAAAATGGATATTATTCATTGAAAAAAAGAAAAGTTGCAACTCTCAGACACGCCTGATATGAAATGGCCAAATCCCTTCAAAGTTGAATTGAAAGCCTTATTATTCCCTTATAGTTGAATGATTTCGAACGATCCTTTTCTTACCCCGATAAGGCCAACAGCTTTATATGTATAGGAAATGTAAAAAGGTCTTCTTTAATATCGTCCCGGTACATTGAATTGCGTTTCATTTCCGAAACGTTTCAATGACCCCTTATTCGGTATAATATTAATATCAATAACGGCTTAGAATTTTGATTATATTTCGATTTTTGTGATTAATATAATACTAGCAGCAAAAGTCTAATGAGAGGGATAAACTCGTTATTTAATATCCAATTTTCATGGATACCAGTTCAAATGAACGTATAACTGACGAGCACGATAAATTTGGTAACTCAAGCCACATTTACACGATCGCATCGTTAATTCCTGGGCCTCTCCCCCTGGGCCAAACTTTTCGCAAAACGAGACCACAACACGAACTGCCTAACACTAGGTCTGTGGCGAACCGCAGTAACTCCTATGGCTCATCCCTCTCATGCTCGTCATCCAACACCCTTCGATATGCGTATATTTCGAATCCTTCACTCCATAAACCACTGCTTTTGACACAATCGACTTTAACATTACATTTTGATGGCATTCGAAATTAATTTCGTTGGAATTTCAAACCCTTTTCCATGGCTGTTTGAAATTAAAATTAAAATTCCTCAACCTGTGGTACTGATTTTTTTGTGTTTTCTATATAATTACAATCAAAAATAGAGGAAAATTCACTTTGCATATATCTAAAGCTACGATGAAAATTTTCACTTAAGAGAAAAAGGCCTCGTCTCGAGTTAAAAATGCCACGACAAATGACGAACTGAGCGGAAACGTTAGAAAAGTTTTAATCGTTCCATGAACTGTGGTTGAAATGATAACAGTTGAGGGTGGAATCACAGTTGCCCTTATGGTTTTGTCAGTCAAAAGTATCTTATTCACTTTCTTTTTACATTCCTTTGAAGCAAAAAAAGTCGTCCTGGTGGAAATTTAATTTTCCTCAAAGGAATTCACAATCTATCAAAAAAAAATTCCTTATGAATCACTTATGTTCGTAAAGGTCCTTAAAGATGTAATATTCATTTCTTTAAAAATAATTGAAACGATTTGCCACTACTATATAGTGACAAGTTCGCAGTAATTAAGCAGTTTGCGAATTACTTCCGTCTGTTGAAATCGGATTTCGTCCAGCAATGTTGTGTCCCAATATGTAGAATATATCACACCTAAGTTTCACACAGAGACCAAAGTCGTACCTCGGACTCCCCTTAATTAATTCACTTTGTGTCACGCTCGTTTGTAATACTAGATACTAGGATGCCTAAGAGCCTCGAGGTTTTAATTGAATAAAATTCTCCTATAGGGTGACTATTCGATCCTACTTCCGTTTCCATGATTCTGAAAAAATTACTTCAAAGTTGAATAATTCCAATTTTATCGATTCTAAATTTCTATGATTAGAAAATTGATCCTCTATTTGTACTAAATCTATTCGAGGTATACAATTTCAAAAAAATGTATCTGATCATCAATACTGCTCTTCTGAATGATAAATTAATTAATTATACAAAATTGCATTAATCACCATTTCCATAA